CTTTCATGATGAATGCATTACATAAAAAGTATGGAAGCCATTCCAGCCATTCCAATTAAAAGAGAAGGCAACGTCACCTCAGAGGGAAGGTAGGGGAGGGTGGGGGAAAGGGGAGAGATCAACCAAAGGACTTGTATGCATGCGTATAAGCCTAACCAAGGGACACAGACAACAGGGGGATGAGGGCATGAGTGGGGGGCAATGGAGGATAAGGACACATAAGTAATACCTTAATCAATAAAGAAAAAAAGTGAAAAAAATGGCAGCAAATACATATCTATCAACAATTGAATATACAAATAAAAATGAACAAGAAATCTAATGAACAAAATAAACTGGTGAATAAAGTAGAATCAGAGGTATGGATGCATGGAACAGACTGACAAATCTCAGAGGGAAGGGGGGAGGCAGGAACAGGAAGAAATTAACCATAGATCTTACCTATGGACATAGATAGTAGGGTGGTGAAGGCCTGGGGCAGGACAGGAACGGGTAGAGGGGCAATGGGGGACATCTCTAATATTCTCCACAATGAAGATTAAGCACAAAATAAAATAAATAAAAATATTAAAAAAATAAATATGAATTTGACTTGAAGTCCAAGATAAACAAATTCAGATAATTAACTACCTCATCTCTATGTGTATAAGCAACTTTCTTCACAAAAAAGATAAATACAGCCCAGCCGGTGTGACTCAGTGGTTAAGCTTGACCCAGGAGCCAAGAGGTCACGGTGTGATTCCCTGTTAGGACACATGTCTGGGTTTCAGGCTTGATCCCAGTAAGAGGGTATGCAGGAGGCAGCTGATAGATTATGTTTCTCTCTCATAGATATTTTTATATCTCTATCCCTCTCCAGTCCTCTCTCTCTCCAATCAATAAAAACATAATAAAAAAAAGATAAATACAAAATATAACAAAGAGGCCAGTAGAGTAAAAGACTAAAGAGATAATCATTAAACCAGACATCTTATTTAAGAAAAAAGCTACAATAGCCAATTCACTTTTGTTTTGTGCTTTAGTTAATTTAGTTAACACTATTTAGGTGGAAACTAACTTAAATATCACAATTTTTAAAGGCTGAATGGGTTCAGTTTTGTTGCCTCTGAAGTCCCACAAAAGACAGAAATGCCACTCGTTTTCTGCAGTATTATCTTTAAAGTGCAAGCATATCACACTCGCGGTGCGCCAACCGCGAGTTTGACATGCTTGACATCAATAGGTTCTTTCTATACTCAGACTTTAACATGTGGATAAAATATACACATACATCAATATTCATATACATATACTAGAGGCCTGGTGCACGAATTCGTGCACAGGTGGGGTCCGGCTGGCCCACCCTGATCAGGGTCAATCGGGCCGGCCAGCCGGCCCCAACCCCTGGTTGAACTCCAGTCAAACTCCTGATGGAGGGGACAATTTGCATATTACCCTTTTATTATATAGGAGGATTTTATATCTTAAACCAAACTGCAGAAATTCAGATTTATTGAAGATGTCATTGTGAAATGACAAGCACAAAATAAAATAAATAAAAATATTAAAAAAATAAATATGAATTTGACTTGAAGTCCAAGATAAACAAATTCAGATAATTAACTACCTCATCTCTGTGTGTATAAGCAACTTTCTTCACAAAAAAGATAAATACAGCCCAGCCGGTGTGACTCAGTGGTTAAGCTTGATTATGTTTCTCTCTCATAGATATTTTTATATCTATGAGATATAATTTCCAACATTTACAGGGAACTCATACAACTTACAAGGAACATAAACAACCCAATCAAAAAATGGGCAACAGACCTAAATAGATACATTTCAAAAGAGGACATAAGGAAGGCCAAGAGACATACTGAAAAATTGTAAATGGAAGATTATAAAAACTAGGAAAACAGCCCTAGCCAGTTTGGCTCAGTGGATAGAGTGTCAGTCTGTGGACTGAAGGGTCCCAGGTTTGATTCCGGTCAAGGGCACATGCCCAGGTTGCGGGCTCAATCCCCAGTAGGGGACTTGCAGGAGGCAGCCAATCAATAATTCTCTCTCACCATTGATGTTTCTATCTCTCTCTCCCTCTCCCTTCCTCTCTGAAATCAATAAGCATGTTATTTTTTTTTAAAAAAATTTAAGAAAATAAAGAAGCAGACTCTTTCAATAAGGATAAATAAACTAATATCTGTACTATTTCCCATCCCAAAATAAATCTGTAGCAAATGTCAATACTTTTAATCAAGTTAATCATCTTTTACAGAGCCTACAGTAGTAGGAATTATTTTACTTGCATCAAATAAAGTCGTCAAGAAAAAATTCATTAGATTTCTGCTAGTTCCTACCTTTCAATTTAAAAAAATTTATTAGAGAGATCATCACCTCAGACCATATTACCACGAGACAACATTGGTTGTTTTTTTTGGGGGGGAGGGGGGGTAGAGGAAGGAGGGAAGGTTACTAAATTATTCTGATTAGCAATTAGTTATGCTAATAGAATGCAAGAAAGTGAAGAAAAAGTAAATAAACACATTTTAACTACTAGAGTAAATATGTTCAACCAGCAATGACACAAATACATTTAAAAGTGCAAAAACTCTATTTTCCAAACTGACCAAGCAGCAGAAAATCCAGTAAGCACTAATAGGTCAGGGAAGTAAGAGAACAAAGTAACAAAGAAGGCTAGAATAATCTTAAACTGTAAAGCAAACAAAAATAAAATATGAAGTATGTTTTATATCTACAAGCCAGACCTAAGAGTATAAAAATCTCACATATGACTTTTAAAAGACGTGTAAAGAGGTTCTGAAGTGCAGAAACTTACAAGAAATGTCTGTGTTTGTGCACACACATAAAACAATGTGAAAGTTTTCAGGACTAAGCAAAATCTGATTAATCATGTATATTAAGATAACTTTAGAGAAGAAATTCAGAAGTTGGAAAGACTATCATGCCAGAAGATGATAAGCACTTCTCAGTTATGACTATGCCTGCCTTAGAGATGATGTAACAAACGTTTTTAGATATCAGGTGGTTCTATACTTTTTCCAGACCCCTCTTGTATAGCCACATTATATTTTAGTCAACTACCCCAAATAAGTAAAACTTCCTGCTTATTATTCACTAGAGGCCAGGTGCACGAATTCACGCACAGGTGGGGTCCAGCTAGCCCGCCCCAATGGGGGCTGCAGGCGATTGGCAGCTGGCTCCGCCCCCAATCGTGTTTGGGGGGCTGATCAGGACCCGGATCAGGCTGGTTGGCTGCTGCAGTGCACATCATAGCCACCAGTCGTTCCGCCATTCTGGTCACTGGACTTTTATATATATACTAGAGGCCCGGTGCACAAAAATTTGTGCACTCGGGGGGGGGGGGGGGGGGGCCCCCGCCCGG